CTTGCTAGACAAAATGATCAATTTATAAATACTATCTTAAATCTCCCTAATAAATTACTGAAAAAAACCCCGGTAATGAACAGTGTTTTGATTTAAGCCAAGTGTATATATCTGATTAATTTCATATAAAGCATGTTTGGGTTTAGTTTATATATTATTATAGTATTCAGCAGGGTTTCAAATTAGATTTGAATCAATACAAATTAATTTAATTAATTAATTTTTAATTTAACTTTTTTTTAATACAATTCATTTAATTGTAATTAAATTTAAATTAAAAATGACATTTAATTAAAATTCAATTTAAAAAAAGTTAAATTTAATGTTATGTGCTTTTGTCATTTTTATTAGTTTTTTTTCTATTTAGCTTTATTTTTATTTCAGTTTATTTTTATTTTAGTACTTCCAGTTTTTTTTTATCTAACATTTTTGTTTTGTTTTATTTCAATTAACAAATTATTATTTTTTTAAATTATAATTAATAACGCTGGTTTAGGTAAGTCGGGTTCGAGTTAATTAACAGTTAATTTAGTTAACATAAACAGTTGAATATTCAGTGCAAAATTAAACCTGGTCAACTAAAAATAAATTTTTATTCAAACTGACTAAAATTAATGAATTAAACGGAAAAAAAAAACTTAATTTAAAGACTACAATACAATAAGACTACAAAAACTGTTAAAATTAACACTTTGAAACAGAGTTGAATAAAGTGAGAACTCTTTTAAGTCTCCAGAGTTATAAAAGAGCAATTAGATGCATACAACAGTCAGGTTGAACAGACAAACACCCCTAGGAGCACATACATTTAATCACTCATTGTATGAGAGGCAATGGTACAAAATAGTTGTGGAGCAGTACGTGCACACCTGAGCCCTGAGTCAGGATCATAAACATAGCTGTGGGGTTTCTGCTAAAACGACCAATCAAAATGACAAATCACGTCAAGGCCTCTGTAAACCAGCCCTTATAACACAGCAATACCACAGTGATGCATACCATGACATTTCCTCATGGGTGCCCAATGAAAAAGATTGATGAAATACCACATCAATAATTTAGACAAGAAAAACTAGAGCTGCCACTGACCCTCACTTGATTCATTCCAAAGGCCAAGGAAAAGGGCTGAAGCAACCAATCAAACAGGCACCGTTTGTCACAGGGGCTGACTGTGTGTGCGTGTGTGGGGAAGGGGACTGTCCTGTGGCTCATTTAGTGTCTTTAGCGCTCATCTTTAAATTGTCAGCTCTTCATGTAATCCTGTGTTGCCGTTTCTTCCCCTGACACCTCGACGTTTGTGGCACTGCATTTTCGAGCCGAGATGCTTTCGCCAAATCCCAGTCTTCTATCTCTCTCTCTCGGCCTGTCTCGCGTCCCCCGGCGGGGGTTGCCAACTCAAGCATGCGTAGGCAGGTCAGCCTATCAATGTCTCACAAACACGGTTTGTCGGCAGAAGAGCTCGAACAGATGTGAGGCAAATCTGAGCAAACATATTGTATTTTTTCCCTCTTTTGTTTTAATTTTTCACAGCTTGATGGCTCTGGCTGCAAGGGCTTGGAAAATGGAGGGATTGTAGCGGAGGGAGGGAGCCGTGAATGAGCAAGGAGGGCAGCTGTGAGGCACTGATAAAATCACTTCCGCCTCAGCTCTGCTCATCCACGAAGCTCATAGGTACCCGCTCCTGCAACAGAGAGCGGCTGCAACAAGACCTTTCGGGGGGCGGCAAGTGGAATTACTGTGCATAAGAGGGTGAAATAGAGAAAGAAGAGACTGGAGAATGGAAAAGAGATTGAGGCGAAATCAAGTTGAGCAGTGAGGGCTAAATAATCCTCCCAGACAAAAGACAAATTATAAGAAGGCATTCGAAGCTCCTGTGTCTAAACTGCCAACTTAAAAATAAAACGGCCATCTTAAAAATAAAGGTTCATTATTGGCATCAACGGTTCCATGAAGTAAGTAATAATTGATCACGGGCCACTGAATTACTGAAAAGTAATGCACACCCAAGGTGGTAATATGGGCACAATGTCTTTTAAAAACTCTTACATATTTACATTACATTTACATTTAGTTATTTAGCAGACACTTTTATCCAAAGCAACTTACAAATGAGGACAATGGAAGCAATCAAAATCAACAAAAGAGCAATATGCAAGCGCTATGACAAGTCTCAGTTAGCCTAACGCAATACATTTAGCAAGGTTGTTTTTTTAAAGAATTATATAATAAATAAAAATAAAACAGATAGAATAGAAAAAGAATAGAGCAAGCTAGTGTTAGAGGCCTTTTTTGCTTTTTGTTAATTGTATAATAAATAAAAGAAAACAAATAGAATACAAAAAGAATAGAGAAGCTAGTGTTAGTTTTTTTTAAAGAAAACAAGCAGTTAGTAAATGAAAAGAGTGCAAGTCTAAAAAAGGCAAGTTTTTTTTATTTTTTTTAAGAATATAATTCGAATATAGAGTGCTAGTGTTAAAGGGTCAAATAAAGATGGAATAGATGTATTTTTAGCCGATTCTTGAATATGTCTAAGGACTCAGCTGCTCGGATTGATTTGGGCAGGTCATTCCACCAGGAGGGAAAATTTAATGCAAAAGTCTGTGAAAGTGATTTTGTGCCTCTTTGGGATGGCACAATAATGTGCCATTCACTTGCAGAATGCAAGCTTTTAGAGGGCACATAAGTCTGAAGTAATGAATTTAGGTAAAGGGGTGCAGAGCCAGTGGTGGTTTTGTAGGCAAACATTAATGCCTTGAATTTTATGCAAGCAACTATTAGTAGCCAGTGCAAATTGCTAAACAGAGGTGCATTCTTTTTGGCTCATTAAAAATTAATCTTGCTGCCGAATTCTGGATTAATTGTAAAGGTTTGATAGAACTGGCTGGAAGGTTTGATAGAACTGGCTGGCTGCAAAGAGAGAATTTTTATTTATAAAATTGTGTATAAAATTTAGGGCTGTCAGTTTCCCTTCACAGATCTGTTCATTAGTGCGGGGTATTCATCTTCTCGATCTGTCTCTCGCTCCATTTCTATCATTTTTTTGCCTGCTGACAAACAGGACATTGGGAGCTGTGATAAAGACCTTGATTTATCAATCAGCTCTCAATGGCACTGCAGAAGCATTCCTCCGAATGTGTAGCCAACAGCACAGGAAGACCCAGGCCGGTCTGATGCAGCGTAGCATGGCAGCACCAATAAAGGCACAGACTTACAACAGCATGCCTAATGAAAAGGTTTATTCCTCTGGTAGGGCAACAAGCACTGCACCCATTACAACAGACAGTGAGGAAAGAATAAACTAGAACAAGCATGTTGTGTTGTGGGATGGCGCACGGCAGATGTAGGGAATGTGCTGCTACGTATGCGTGCGTGCATGTGTGTGTGGGCGCATTTGGGAGTCAGCATGTGTGAAATGGCTGCCTGGATTGCCCTGAGCTCCCGTAGCTCCAGAAGAACCAGCCCTGCCAGCTGGCTCCCCATCCCTCCCCGCTGAGAAGAAACCCGTTTGGGCATCAGTCAGCCTGCAGCTCTGCAGCAGACATCTGGAGGTTATTGTTCTATAGGGCCGCATTGCACTGCTTGCAACCCTGTCTGGAGTTTTTCCATTACATGCCAGTATGTGCAAATTCCCCATTAGGCAGCACTCATTTGCTACTTTCGTAATCAGTCTTCGCACCAGACCGTCGAGAGAAAATGGAAATGTACCTGGATTTTCACTGAAGATCCATTATTAAAAAGGCGTGAAGAAAGAGTTACTCTGGGCTTACAATAAGTGCTACAAAAACGCTTCACTAATCCTGTCATTTAGGTGGCATTAGGGTCTTATTTATAACTATCAAACCACTACTGAATCTACAGGATGAAATCAAGCGTGCCGCACACATCCTGAAAAATGAAACCAAAACATTTTGATCGCCATCTGGTGGCTAGCAGCAGTATAAGTCATAAACCCCACCCTCTCCATTTAAACGAATAGGATGTGAGCCAAACTAAATAATCAAATTACACTTCAAATACTTTTTTTTCCCGAAGATGGTTTCCATCATTTTAAGTAGTTCTTATCACGCTGATGTATGTTCAAGTGTTCGTTTTTCAAATAAGTTTGCTTTTAATTAGTTATTTGAGCTTGCGATTGGGTCTGCGGGAATTTGGGAATAATCACTACTGCGCAAAATGAATCACTACTGCGTGAACTCGGGCTCCAAATAACATCATCAGTGCAAGATTATGGGCCATACTGAGATGTTTTGGCTTCATTTTTCTATAGTGGACAGAAGTAGAGACATGTCGTTCATCTTTTTTATTTACAGTCTATGAAAGAAACATACAGTGCTATCAGTGCAGTATGAATCCCAAACAAATTAGTATTATGAACTGGTTCTTTTTAGTGAATCAAAGACATTACGGCATGACCAGTAGTAGTCAGATTTCTGAACAAATTAGTCTTATGGGGAGGTTATACTATATTGAACCAAACAAATAAATGACTCTTTTGAGCCAGTATGAATTCAAAAACATACAGCGTGAACAGTGTGGTTCGATTAACAAACAAATTCGTTTTAGGGGATGTTTTTTTTATTGAATCATACATATAACACAATCCGTGAACTCCAATTCCTGAACGATTGAACCGGTTCTTTTTAGTTGATCAAAAACATAAATTGTGATGTGTGAACTCAAATTGTAATTTTAAACTGATTACTGAACAAATGACTCTTTTGAGTTGGTACTTTTTTTAGCAAATCAAAAATGCACAGTATGTCCAGTGTTGCCAGATTCCTGAACAAACAACGTTTTTGATTCACTTTAAGCCAATGAAATGTCTCATAAAGTGCAGCTACTGTAATATCTGACTCGTACAGAATTGTTTTTTTTTTTTTCAAACATCACATATTGCGTTATGTTGTGCTTAAAGCTTGTAAGACTTAAAATCAGTTTAGTTTCTGACTCTTTGTTCATATGAATTCATATAGTTGAGAGGAAACCAGACCTAATGACTGCTGAACATAATTCCCAGCTCACATGAATTCCAAACTCCAGCTTAGGGGCAGATGAGGCTCATATTGAGCAAAATGCCAGCCAAAGAACAGTCCTGGGTATTTTTAGACCTGAACCATCCAAAAGCATAGAAACTTTGCTCAATAAAACATGTTGGGGGACAAAGTGAAAACTGCACTGTTGTGCTGAACTCTAAAGCATTGGCTGGAACTTGTCAGCCCAGAAGGAGATACAACAGAATATACTAGAATGAAAGCTGCATATGGATCAAACAAATAAAAGCCACACCATCCAGGCAAATGCCATGCAAGTTTATAATGAACTACATGTAACCTACAGACATTTACGCTCAGCAGAGGCACAAAGGATTGCACTGAGGGATATCTTTGTTGATACACATTTGATAATAGCTAGCTTCCATATAAATGTCTTTCAAAGCATCTCTGCTACTTCAAAGTAACAAAAGACTTGCTTACTTTGTAAATGAGACGCCTTATTTTTAATTACTTTTATGGCAAAAGAGTCATGGCGGTGCGTATGTGTGTGTGTGTGGGCATTTCTGTATGTGAGTGTGTTCGTTTAAGATGGTGCTGATCTTAAGTGCTAATTTCTATGCTAATTTTCCTAAGCGCTACCTCTAAATACAGGTGCTTCTCAATAAATTAGAATGTCGTGGAAAAGTTCATTTATTTCAGTAATTCAACTCAAATTGTGAAACTCGTGTATTAAATAAATTCAATGCACACAGACTGAAGTAGTTTAAGTCTTTGGTTCTTTTAATTGTGATGATTTTGGCTCACATTTAACAAAAACCCACCAATTCACTATCTCAACAAATTAGAATACTTCATAAGAACAATTAAAAAAAACATTTTTAGTGAATTGTTGGCCTTCTGGAAAGTATGTTCATTTACTGTACATGTACTCAATACTTGGTAGGGGCTCCTTTTGCTTTAATTACTGCCTCAATTCGGCGTGGCATGGAGGTGATCAGTTTGTGGCACTGCTGAGGTGGTATGGAAGCCCAGGTTTCTTTGACAGTGGCCTTCAGCTCATCTGCATTTTTTGGTCTCGTGTTTCTCAGTTTCCTCTTGACAATACCCCATAGATTCTCTACGGGGTTCAGGTCTGGTGAGTTTGCTGGCCAATCAAGCACACCAACACCATGGTCATTCAACCAACTTTTGGTGCTTTTGGCAGTGTGGGCAGGTGCCAAATCCTGCTGGAAAATGAAATCAGCATCTTCAAAAAAACTGGTCAGCAGAAGGAAGCATGAAGTGCGCCAAAATTTCTTGGTAAACGGGTGCAATGAC